AAAAAAAAAAAAAAAGGGTGCTTTGCTTGGTCCGGCCTGGGATGTGTACACCTGTGGGTTAGTGCCTGGCCAGAGGGGTTCAGAATCTCAGCTCTTCTCCTGGGGTTGGGGGTTGGGGCTTACGGAGCAGCTGTCCACACCGCCCTGCGGGAAGCCTGCACACAGCATACGGCTGCTGATCTGCACTGGGTAGAAGCGGCGGCATGTCTGTTCACTGAGGAGGCGCACTGCCGCCTTCTGTAGCTGTCGTGCCATGGAGCCTGCAGGTGAGACCAGCCATTGGGGGCTGTGCCCCTGTCCTATGCCTGAGGACCCTGGCCTGAAGGTCTGTCTCACTGCCCCTCCTGTGGCCCTGAGCGTACCTACCTCCTTCCCGCACAGAGCCCCAGCCAGTGATGACACAGCGTGCTCCATCCGGAGGCCGTGGCACGGGCTCAGGTAGGCAAATGGGCCGTATCAGATGACTACGGTGCACAGGCCCGGCCAGCTCGAGCAGTGCCACATCATAGTCCAGCGTGTAGAGGTTGTAGAACGGGTGCTTGTATATGCGCGTCACACGCTCCAGCTGCCCTTCAGCAATGCTTAGGAATGGTGTGCCCAGGAAGGCTGCCCACTGCTTGGGGTCCCCATAGCTGTGGGAGGTGGAGGAAGACAGGTGTCAGCAGGATCCACAGGGCTCCTGCCTGCTGAGGCTTCCCTGGCCCCTGACTGTGGGACCTTGGGCAGAGATCTTGACTCTCAGCTTTGTGCTGTTCATTTGGAAATGGGCTAAGAGTTACCCCTTTCTCGCAGTAGGGAAGGTGAGAAAGGTGGCACCTGGAATGTGCCCAGCCACAGGGCAATGAGATAACACCACAGGCTGTATTTATTTACACTTAGTATCAGTGCTCTACAAAGGGAGGCTCTTGTGGCTATGTGGGTCCTGCTCCCTCCTGCCTACACCCTCTGACTCTGAGCCCGACCAGGCTTTGGGGTGTGCACCCAGAGCAAGGTGTCTGCAGGTCCTCTGGCCTGGTCCAGCCTCCTGAGTGCCCGCCCTATCAGGCTGTGGGGAGAGGGCTGGAGCCAAATCCTAGCAGGGAGGGCTGGAGAAGGAAGTGACTTCATGTACCCTGAGGGTGGGCCCAAGGAACTCGGAGAAGCTTCAGCCCAGGATTAGACCCTCCCCAGCCCCAGGCAGTGTGGGGAGGGATGTCTGAAGAAGGGGCGACATGGGGCAGTGGGAGCTGGTAGCTGCAGAGGGCATTCCTGTAAAGGAGGGGAAGTACAATGAATTTTCAGGGAACATTTCAAATCTAGGTCAACTACAGACGTGGGATAGGGGCATCTGGGGGACTCACATGTCGAAGCAATGTGCTGCTGACAGCAGCCACCTCTCTGCTACCAGCACGGCCCCGCAACGGTGCTCCCGGCGCCGCAGCCACAGGCTCACTTGCCATGGCCATTCCCCGAGGCTTGCAGCACTGCCACCCACGATCCTGGTCAGTGCCATGGCTGGCGCTAGGCCACAGTCTGTGGGGACCCAGGCAGGTGGGTAAGTTGGCCGGGGGCACTTCACAGAACCCACCAAGCATCACACTGTGCATCCCTGCATGGAAACCCAGAGGATGGATGGGGGAACCTGCCCCTGAAAACTGCATAAAAGGACATTGGGCCTGGGTCTTGGTCCTGCAAATAAGCCCTCTCTGAGATTTCTGCAATTCATTGTTTCCTGTGACCTCAGCCTTGGGGCTGTACCTCCTCCCCTGCTGGTGACAAGGCCACCATCCCTTCCTACACCACTACCCCTGGGCATCTCTCAGTCCTCGGGAGCTGAGTCTGGCCCATTGCAGAGCCTCTGGACATAGGTGCCTTCCCTGGCCCTCTTTATCTAGATCTTTTTTGGTTTTTGAGACAGTCTCACTCCTGGTCTTGCCTAGAGTGCCACTGTGTCAGCCTAGCTTACAGCAACCTCCCCTCAAGTGATCCTCCTGCCTCAGCCTCCCAAGTAGCTAGGACTACAGGCACATGCCACCATACCTGGCTAATTTTTCTATTTTTAGTAGAGATGAGGTCTTGAACTCTTGTGCTCAAGTGATCCTCCTGCCTTTGCCTTGCAAAGTGCTAAGATTACAGGTGAGGCACTGAACCTGGCCTGATCTTTTTTTTTTTTTCTTTTTTCCTATTTTAGAGACAGAGTCTTGCTCTGTCATCTAACATAGTTCACTGCAGCCTCGACATCCTGAGTTCAAATGATCCTCCTGCCTCGGCTTCCCAAAGTGCTGGGGTCACAGGCATGAGTCTCCCCACACCTTGCCTAGATCCTTCCCTGTTACTACTTCTAGGCCAGTGGTTCTCAACCTTTTAATCCCAAGATGTATTTTCATTGTTACAAAGGGGTTGTGACCCACAGGTTGAGAACCCCTAAAGTGGGTCACCCCCCAAGTGATGCCAGGCACAAAGCACTTCTTAGAACACAGTTGGAGAAAGATTAGTAGTTTCCAGAGGTGCTTCAGGGCCCACTTGTACCCCCCACGGAGGGGGCTCTGGTAACTCTAGAGGGGCATTTTCCTCCTCGAGAGTTTGGGAGATGCCCTCCTGCCCAGGACCTCAGCTACAGAGGCTTCAAGGAAAAGAAGGGGTTCAGTGTCTCCATGCAGAAGAAGAGGGGTAGGTCCCAGAGGCTGCTGCTACATTCCCACCAGCCCTGGCACCCCTGGACAGACAGGAGCCTCCTAGCACCATCTGACCCTCAAGTCCCTGCCTATATTTCAGGGGCCTTCACTGTCTGTTTTGGGCCCCAAGTTTAGAGGTCCCAGGGCATAGCTGATGAAAAGTAAACATCAACTCAGCCTGGGAAAGTAAGCATGGTGTCATGTAACTCAGTATGGGAGGCCAGACCTGGTGAGCCAGATACAGAGTTAAACAGGAAACACTCTCCCAGGACACCACCTTCTCTGTGCTATCACTGATTTCTACCTTGCTAAGAAGCCAGACTGTCAGAAACTTTACTGTTAGAAGTCATATATCAGTTTGAAATGTCACTCTGGCCTGGAAGGTGGCAGGCACCAGAATCTGCCTGTTTCCCTGCTGGCTACAGAGCTTCCTATAAGAGGTTTCTGGACTGGTGCTCCACAGCTTCCTATGCGTGTGTAGCTGACTGCAAGCCAAGGAGTGAGGCTTCAGGAGAAGCCAGCCCTGAGGGTACCTTGATCCCAGCCAGACTTTGTACCTCCAGGATTGTGACAAAATAAACACCTTTTGTTTAAGCCACCTGGTCTATTGTGTTTGGCACAGGTAGCCTGAGCAGACTAACTTGAGACCCCTGCAACACTCACATGGTCCTCCATTTTTCACAATACCTGGTAGCTGAGAGTGCATGGTGGTCTCAGGGGCATCTGCCAGTGGCGAGTATTCCCTAGCAGTGGTGCTCATGGTGGATACAGTCACGTTGGCAGGTTGGCTGGTGGCTCTGGAGGTGGGTCTACTGGTGGTGACGAATGGGACTGTGAAGCCAGCCATTGTGCTGGAGGGATGGCTGGAGGGGACTGGTGCCCTTGTGGTCAAGGGGGGAGACACAGGGAAGGGACGGGAGGACATAGTCTCCAGGATCCAGCCCTTCAGCCTGGTGATCCGCACGTACACACCAGGTTTCTTGGCCTGTGCACAGCCGATCCCCCAGCTCACGATCCCTGCCAGGTAGAACACGCCAGGGGTCTCCTCACAGGCCAGAGGGCCCCCAGAATCACCCTGGAAAAGGACAAAGTACTGGTTGATTATCTGGATGCCTTTTCCACAGGGCAGTGCCGGGCCCTCCCGAGTTCCCACTAGTGGGTGAGACCGGACAGGGGAGCAGAATATAGCTCAGGGACTTGGGAGACCTGGCTTCACACCCATGCCTGGATGTGTGACCTCGAGCGAGTCACTTCTCTCTGAGCCTCCGCCGTTCTCGCTTTTGTTTTGGAGGTGTAAAACAGTGCAGAAAACTCTAAAGAAAAAAATAACAGTCATGGATAGTCCCATGACCTGGAATTAATGACTGCTTATTAGCTGCCAGTCATTGGGCTAATATTTCAAGAGAATTATACCATAACATATTACTTTTTTTAAATTCTAGAATGTTACAAATGAAGACATTGGCTATGTAGTAGATTGTGTTTTCTAAAGATGGCTACAACAGTATCTCAGATACTCTGAAGAAATGAGACCTTGACACTCCCATTGAATGTGGGGGTGTTTGTGTCCTTCCTTGTGCCTGCCTTCACCAACAGAGTTTGGGGACAGAGGTTCAAGGTAACTTCCAAAGTTAGGTCATAAAAATGCCCTATGTTTCCCCCTTACTTTAAAGGGCTGCTACTTTCTTTCTTTTCTTTTTCTTTTTTTCTTTCTTTCTTTCTTTCTTTTTCTTTTTTCTTTTTTTTTTTTTGGAGACAGTGTCTCAAGCTGTCACCCTGGATAGAGTGCCATAGCATCATAGCTCACAGCAACCTCCAACTCTTAGGGTCAAGCCATCCTCTTACCTAAGCTTTTGAGGTGTGAGCCACCTTGCCTGGCCAGGGCTGCTACTTCTTAGAAATCAGCTGCCATAGTGTAAGGAAGCCCAAACTAGCCCAGGTGGACCCCTGGAAAGGCCATGTATAGCAAGTAGCTGAGATTCTCCAAAAGCCAGCACCAGGCATGCCAGTGAGATGCCTCCCTGCCCACTGGTCTTTAATTTACTTTTTGCCTTTGAATGTTCTCAGCTGTGGCCTCAGACATTATGTGGCATGGACAAGTCAGCCCCACTGTGCCCTGCCTGAATTCCTATCCCATGAAATCTGTGATCTGAATAAAATGGTGGTTTACTCACCGCTAAGCATTGAGATGTTTTCTGACAGCAGTAGGGAACTGATTCAGCCCTATCTCTGATCCCAATTCCTCACCTTCCCTGGAGTAAACAGTTTAGGGATTTGGTGTGTTTTCTTCTAGGCCTTTTCCCCCACTATGTCTTTACATTTCTATTTTTAGAAAATACAATATATAATGTTACCTTAAATTTATATAATTGTGTCACATGTAACATTTTGTAACTTTATTCATTCAACATTGTTTCAGGATAACAAGCTAACTATTGTCTTGGCACCTGTAGTACAGTGATTACAGCGCCAGCCACATACAGCGAAGTTGGCGAGTTCGAACCCAGTCTGGGCCAGCTTAAATAACAATGACAAGTGCAATAAAAAAAATAGTTGGGCACTGTAGTGGGCATCTGTAGTCCCAGATAGTTGAAAGGCTGAGGCAAGAGAATTGCTTAAGCCCAAGAATATGAGCCGTGATGCCACGGCACTCTATCAAGGATGACATAGTGGAACTCTGTCTCAAAAAAAAGAAAAGAAAGAAAAAAAAAAGCTAACTATTATGAATCGGCCATTTATGTATACTATAAACAAATAGAATAATAGCTATTTGTATTTATTTTTATTTTAGATACAGAATAAATATACTTAAAATGTAGGAAAAAAAGAATCTGCAAGGCACCATTCCAACAGCAGTCTTAGAAGATAAGTATTGCTGTAGTTTCTACTTTACATAAGAGGATCAGTGGCCCAGAGAGGTTGAGTAACTTGCCTGAGTTTACACAGTCAGGATTTGAACCCAGGAATCTGGTTCCAGAAATAGAGCTGGTTAGTTAAATTCCCATTGTATTTTCTTTTTCTTTTTTCTTTGTTTTTAGAGATAGGTTTCTGCTGTGTTACTCAGGCTTGTCACCAACGCTTGGCCTCAAGTGATCCTCTTGCCTCAGCCTCCAAAAGTGCTGGGATTACAAGCATGAGCCACTGCACCTGGCCAACTTTTCATTTAATATATAGTGTACATCTTTTAAAATCCGTATGTGTGTATTTTGTGTAGCTCTACTACATACTTTTTTTTTTTTTAGAGACAGAGTCTCAAGCCGTTACCCTGGGTAGAGTGTCGTGGCATCATAGCTCACAGCAACCTCCAACTCGGGCTCAAGCAATCCTCTTGCCTCAGGTTTTCTACTTTTAGTATAGATGGGGTTTTGCTTTTGCTCAGGCTGGTCTCGAACCGATGATTTCAAGCAATCCACCTGCCTCAGCCTCCCAGAGTGCTAGCATTACAGGCATGAGCCACCGTGCCCAGCCCTACTGCATACTTTTTAACTCCTATCTCATCTGTTTAGACATAGGATTCCTTCCAGCTGTCTTCCAATGATGGGCATTTCCTTTCTCAAATTCTGCTGCTCTGAAAATTCATTTACTTCTGTCTTTGCATATGGGTTGAGTACTCCAGAAATCTAAACCCATATGTAGGCTTGCCAGGGGAAAGGATGTTTTATTTCACCTAAAACCACCCAATTTCCTCCTTCGAATATTTACCTGGCAGGAGTCTACTCTGCCTTCCAGAAACCCGGCACAGATCATCCGGTCTGTGAGGGAGAAGTTGTAGAGCACACTGCACGTCTTCTGGTCAATGATCCCCACAGATGCCTTCTGCAGAAGGTCAGGCTTAGTAGCTGCCAGGAAAGGAGAGTCCAAAAGGGCACTTACAGAGCGATCATCACCAGACTATGTTCCATTTAGCTCTGCTAATGACCCTGACAATGAAGACTGTCCCTGTCCTGCAAATGAAGACATGGAGGCTTACAGAGTTGTAGGAAAGCCACAAGGGCAAGGAGTCCAACCCATGGAGTCTCACAGATTTGCATATAAAGCCACAGGGGCAAGGAGCCCAACCCCAGCTTCCCAACTCGGAGCTGTCCCCATGGGGCTGCTGCCCAGCATCTAGGTGCCCTATAGGAAGGCCATTCTGAGGTTTTGAAGGAAATGTTAACTCTTGGGGTGTGGAGGAGTCTCTGGACAGCAGAGCATGAAGGTCAGCAAACATTTTCTATAAAGAGCCACAGAGTACATATTTTCAGGTTTCTGGCCCTGATGGTCTCTATCGTGACTGTTGACTCTGCTGTTGTAGCAGGAAGGCAGCCACAATCAGTAAATGAATAAATGAGTGTGGCTTGTATCAATAAAACTTTATTTATATACACAGGCCACATTGCACCCCCTGGTATAAGGGAGAGATGAGTGGTTTGCAGAACCAAAGACAACCAGATCTGCAGCAGAGATTCCCAGCCCAGCTAAGAGCCCTGGAGGATGAGGCCACTCCTCCCCTAGGTGGGACTCACCATTTCCTTCTTGTGTGTTACCCCACCCTGAGATCATGCACTTGCGGCCCACAGGGAACTTCTGAATGGCCAGGGGCAAGCAGAGCGGCTGGATGTACTTGTTGAAGACCACAGGGCTGGCCAGCTCCAGAACAGCCAGGTCGAAGTCCAGGGTGCCGGGGTTGTACAGTGGATGCAGCACCACCCTCTGCAGCCCAACCTTCACTGGGCTGCCACCCAGGCCCAGGAGGGACGCTGTGCCCAGGTGAGCCTGCACCAGCTCTGCCTTGGTGCTGTGAGACAGGGGCCCTCAGACATGCCACCTGCCATCCCAGGGGCCACCCCTCAGACCTGGGTTCCAGGGAGGGGCTGCAGGGCTGCTCCTAAGAAGGATCCCACTGGGGGACTGTGGGCAAGTCAGAAAACCTGTGTGGCTTCATTATCTATATCTATGACAAAGATCCCTCCAGCTTTGTGAATCTTAAAGACAGATGCAGCCCAGGTATCAGGTGCCTCCTCCTTCATTGGCCCAGGTGCCAGCTCTCAGGGACCCTGCTTCTCCTTGGCTGCCCCAGCATGGGCGTGACTGACAGAGCAGGAGGAGGGAAGGCGGGTCAGCCCTCTTGGGGGAGGCAGGCCTTACTGGTTGAAGCAGTGGGCAGCAGACAGCAGCCAGCGGTCTCCCACCACAGTGGCTCCACAGAAGTGCCGGGAACTCTCCTTCAGGCTGACCTGCCAGGGCACCTCCCCAGAAGCAGCTCCAAACCCACCCACTATCCGAGTGGGCTTCTCCATCGCGGGTCTGGCCCCGCAGTCTGTGAAGCGACAAGTGGGAAGGGTCTGGGCATTGTGGTTTGCTCAGTACTCAAGCGTCCTGGACCCCAGAAGTGGTCTGAGAATGAGGGAATGAGTCTCCAGCCCGGCCCAGGTATGCAGAAAATCTGCCTCAATTTACACCCTGGTGCAGAGCTTTGAGAAGGGGCTTCTGGACACACAATACTGTACATCTTGTTTTGTTTGTTTTGAGACAGTCTCACTTAGTCACCCTTGATGGAGTGCAAAGGCGTCTTAGCTCACAGCAACCTCAAACTCTTGGGTTCAAGTGATCCTCTTTCCTCTTGCCTCAGCCTCCCAAGCAACTGGGACTACAAGTACTAGCCACAATGCCCAGCTATTTTTAGAGAAGGGTCTCGCTCTGGCTCAGGCTGGTCTTGAACCCGTGAGCTCAGGCTATCCACCTGCCTCAGCCTCCCAAGTGCTAGGATTACAGGTGTGAGCCTCCACACCTGGCTCCTCCCCCCCTTTTTTTGGTACAGAGTCTCACTTTGTTGCTCTCGGTAGAGTGCCATGGCATTGTAGCTTACAGCAACCTCAAACTTTTGGGCTGACATGATTCTCTTGTCTCAGCCTCGAAAGTAGCTGGGACTGCCAGCACCCACAACAATGCCTAGCTATTTTTTTAGAGACAGAGTCTTGCTCAGGCTGGTTTTGAACTCCTAAGCTCAAGCAATCCACCTGCCTTGGCCACCCAGAATGCTAGGATTACAGGCATGAGCCACCATGCCCTGCCAATACTATACATCTTAACTTTGTGTTTCCTGCAGACTCAGGTCTACTCTGCAGTCCAGACCTGATGTTGACCCCTTCACAGGAGGCTCTGCTTGGCTTTAATCCAATGGAAACCATGCTTCATTTCAGTTTTACCTTTGCCCCACCCTGTCCCCAAATCCAATAGCCCAACTCTTTCTTCTCTGTGAGCCACACCATAGGTACTTCACAGAACATCATTGAGAAAGTGAAAAGAAGCTCAATGGGCTTGAAGGCTCACACCTGAAATCTCAGCACTTTGGGAGGCTGAGGCAGGTGGATCATCCAAGTGCAGGAGTTCAAGACCAGCCTGGGCAACATAGCAAGACCCCGCTAAATTAAAAAATTAGCTGGATGTGGTGGCATGCACCTGGAGTCGCAGCTACTCAAGAGCCTGAAGCAAGGCAGGAGGCACCTGTGGCTCAATGAGCAGGGCACCAGCCCCATATACCCAGGGTGGAGAGTTTGAACCCGGCCAAACTGCAACAAAAAAATAGCTGGGCGTTGTGGTGGGCACCTTTAGTCCCAGCTACTCAGGAGGCTGAGGCAAGAGAATCCCCTAAGCCCAAGAGCTGGAGGTTGCTGTGAGCCGTGATGCCACAGCACTCTACTGAGGGTGACAAAGTGAGATTCTGTCCCTAAAAAAAAAAAAAAAATAGAAAAAGAACTGATGCAGGAGGAATCGCTTAAGCCCAGGAGTTGGAGGGTACAATAAGCTATGATGACACTACTGCACTTCAGGCTGGGTGACAGAGTGTGACCCTGTCTCACAAAAAAAAAAAAAAAAAAAAATTAAAAAATATAAACCTGAAAGATGACTAATCTGTGACCTTCCTCTAGACCTGTGCTCTTGGAAGACATTGCTAATCAATCATCAGTCTCTTACTACTGTTTTGGAAAACCAGAACCAATCAATTTGGCCCTGTATGGGGTTGTGGAGGGGGGCACCTACTCTTACCTGTCTGCCTGGAAAATACCTTGTGGCTTAGGAGCAGTGACTGGATCTAAAGGCACAGTGCTAGGGGCCGGTGTGGGTTTGGTGGGGTTCTCCGGGCTGGTGGGCCCACTGGGGGTGACAGGGGCAAGTGCCACTGTGGGGGCCAGGGGCAGCCTTGTCATGGTGGTCGCCTCCAGAATCCAGTCCCGCAGCTGGGTGACTCGGGCATAGACCCCCGGACGCCGGGCTTCTGCACAGCCAATTCCCCAGCTCACGATGCCAGCCAGAAAGAACCTGCCAGAGGGCTCCTCACAGACCAGGGGGCCTCCTGAGTCACCCTAGGGAGCAAAAGCACAGCCTTAGGATGGACTGGGGCTCTGCAGCAGCAGCCAGTACAAAAGCCAACAAGAGCTACAAAGCCAAAAAAGGAGCCCCAGATGGGGACTGCTGAGATCTCTCTCCACATGAGTTTGCAGTGCAAAGGCAAGCTGATAATTTGCACAAGAACCTCAGTTTCTCCCTTTTTTGAGGGCAAAAGAAAACCTGAGACAGTTGGACTATAGGATCTGTAAAGCTCTCTTTCAGGTTGATGACTAGCAGTCTAAAACCTGACCCAAATGAACAATATTCCCTTCTCTCCCTAGCCCATTTGATAATGTCACCACTTGCTTAGGCTGACAACAGTACAGCTGCCTTGCTGGAGCCTCTAAACACCTCACTGGTAACTGTAGCATTTCTCCCAAAGTGTTTGATATGCCCTTTCATCCTGTATTCTCACTGTCCTTTGCCTCTCTTGATTTTCAGCTCACCTTGGCTCTTACACTCTTTCTTTTTTTTGAGACAGAGTCTCACTCTGTCACTCTTGGTAGGGTGCAGTGGCGTCATAGCTCTTGGGTTCAAGCAATTCTCTTGCCTCAAGTAGCTGAGACTACAGGAGTCTATCACAAAGCCCAGCTAAGGATTACAGGCATGAGCCACTACACCCAGTCTACTACTCTTACATTCTTTTTTTTTCTTTTTCTAAGACAGAGTCTTACTATGTTGCCCTCAGTAGAGTACTGCGGCTTCACAGCTCACAGCAACCTCAAACTCTTGGACTTAACCGATTCTATTGCCTCAGCCTCCCAAGTAGCTGAGACTACAGGCGCCCACCACAATGCCCAGGTATTTTTTTGTTGCAGTTGTCATTGTTTAGCTGGCCTGGGCTGGGTTTGAACTTGCCAGCCTGGGTGTATGTGGCTGGCGCCCTACCCACTGAGCTACAGGTGCCATACCCTCCTCTTACATTCTTAAACACAAGCTCCTTCTTATTATTTCCCAACATTTTCTCCACATTTTGGTTTTAGTATGGCAACCTGAGCCAATGTAATAATGTCTCCTTGCCTTTTCCTCACACACCTGGCCTTGGAAATGAGAGCAAAGATTTAAATGAAAAATAAGGGACTCAAGAGAAAGGCTGAAAGTTAAGCAGGGAAGATCTTAGTGATGGACCAAAACCATAAAGACTCATGAGAGGCCAAAAGAAGGAAGTGGCAGCCCAGCTTGTATATTGATGCCCAAGCGAGAAGAGAAAGCTTTCTTGAGAGGACTGCTGCTGGCTGGTATAGAAAAAGGAATTTGGACAACAGCAAAGGGTCAGTGAGAGGTCTTTGATCCCTGGAAAAGAAACATCCAATCCTGGAACACAAACTGCCAATATCCCCAACCCAGAGAAAGTGGACAGTAAACATGAGATCACATCAGGAATCAAGCAACACTTGAGGGACACCAATATCCATGTGATAAAGATACTCAGTAAAAATGGAATAAATGGGCTTGATGCCTGTGGCTCAAGTGGTTAAGGCGCCAGCCACATATACCTAAGGTGGTGGGTTCAAATCCAGCCTGGGCCCACCAAACAACAATGATGGCTGCAACCAAAAAATAGCCAGGTGTTGTGGCGGGTGCCTGTGGTCCCAGCTACTTGGAAGGTGGAGGCAAGAGACTCACTTGAGCCCAGGAGTTGGAGGTTACTGTGAGCTGTGATGCCACGGCACTCTACCCAGGGTGACAGCTTGAGGCTCTGTCTCCAAAACAAAAAAATAATAATAATGGAATAAATGTGTTTGCCTGAAATATAGTTAACCACAAGTATAGAGTCTGGAATGACCACCACATGATTAAATTGTGGTCCTCCGAGAAAAAAGAAGTGGTATCCACACAACAAGAACAGGAAAACAAGAACAAAGAGCAGTGAGCCTTCTTTTTCTTTGAGACAGAGTCTCACTTTGTCACCCTTGGTAGAGTGCTGTGGTGTCATAGTTCATAGCAACCCCAAACTCTTGGGCCCAAGCAATTCTCTTGCCTCAGCCTCCCAAGTAGCTGGGACTACTGGCACTTGCCACAATGCCTGGCTATTTTTTTTTTAGAGATGGGGTCTTGCTCTAGCTCAGGCAGGTCTTGAACTTGTGAGCTCAGGTGATCCACCCACCTCGGCTGCCCAAGTGCTGGATTACAGGTGTGAGCCACCTCCTCCATCTCAAGTCTTTTTTTTTTTTTTCAAGAGATGGAGTCTCACTTTGTTGCCCTCAGTAGATTGCTGTGGCGTCACAGCTCACAGCAACCTCTGGCTTTTGGGCTTGGGCGATTCTCTTGCCTCAGCCTCCCACGTAGCTGGGACTACAGGCACCCACCACAATGCCTGGCTATTTTTTATTGTTGTTGCAATTTTGGCCGGGGCCGGGTTTGAACCTGCCACCCTCAGTGTATGGGGCCAGCACCCTACTCACTGAGCATAGGCACCGCCCAGCAGCTCAAGATTTCTTGAAAACAAAAATTATAACTGTTGATATAAAATCCAACCAGGAGAGCTGAATAGCGGAGTAGATATCACTAAAGACTTAGAAGATGTCAGAGGGGAAAAAAGAGGTCTTATCCTCAATAGTGACAAAAAGCTATAAAGGACCTAGGAATAAGCCCAACAATTTCTCTTTCTTTGTCTGTTTACAGTCTCTGAAGACTATGTTTTGAAATGTGGTTCCAGACATTTGAGGGCACACTGGGTTTGGGGTTTCTCCGCTCTGTGTTGGTTTTCTTTACAGCTCTCTAAAACCAAGATTGTTTTTTAGGTGGAAAGAAAGGGGCATGTTCATCTCAAATTCATGTCAGGACCACTGCTATCCTCTGAATCAGTGCTACCTACTCTATGATGAAGTCACTCACTCTCCTGCCTGTCACTGGAGCCAAGTTCTAGAGGCACGAGTTGGCCATGTTACATAGTCATGGTCGTGCCCTGAAAAGGAGGAGAAGAGAGTAGGCACAGTGGCTCATGCCTGTAATCCTAGCATTCTGGGAGGCCTAGGTGGGTGGATTGCTTGAGCTCAGGAGTTCAAGACCAGCCTGAACAAGAGAGACACTGCCTATACTAAAAATAGAAAAATTAGGCTCGGTGCCCATAGCACAGTGGTTATGGGGCACGAGCCACATGCACCATGGATGGCAGGTTTGAACCCAGCCCAGACCAGCTAAACAATAATGACAACTGCAACAAAAAAATAGCTGGGCATTGTGGTGAGAGCCTGTAGTCTCAACTACTTGGGAGGCTGAGGCAAAAGAATCACTTAAGCCTAAGATTTTGAGATTACTGTCATCTATGATGCCATGGCACTATACTGAGGGCAACATAGTGAGACTCTGTCTCAAAAAAAAAAAAAAATAGAAAAACTAGCCAGGTGTTGTGGTGGGAGCTTGTAGTCCCAGCTACTCAGGAGGCTGAGGCAAGAGGATCACTTGAGCCCAAGAGTTGGAAGTCATTGTGAGCTATAATGATGCCATCTCACTCTATCCAGGGTGACAGAGTGAGACTCTGTCTCAAAAAAAGGGGAGGGCTTGGAGCCTGTGGCTCAAGTGGCTAAGGCGCCAGCCACATACACCTAAGGTGGCGAGTTCAAATCAAGCCTGGGCCTGCCAAACAATAATGATGGCTGCAACCAAAAAATAGCCAGCCGTTGTAGTGGGCGCCTATGGTCCCAGCTACTTGGGAGGCTGAGGCGGGAGGCTGAGGCAGGAGACTCGCTTGAGCCCAGGAGTTGGAGGTTGCTGTGAGCTGTGATGCCGGAGCACTCTACCCAGGGGGACAGCTTGAGGCTCTGTCTCAAAAAAAAAGGGGGAGTGAGGAAGCAGAAGACTTCAAGTAGTGCATCAGTTTCCTATCACTGCTATAAAACACCACAAATTAATGGCTTAAAACAACATAAATTTATTTTGCAACAGTTCTGGAGAGCAGAAGTCTAAAATCAAGGTGTGGCAGGGCATGGCCCTCCTGAGGAGGGCAAGGGAAGGACCCATCTCCCACCTTTTCCAGAGTCTAGAAACTGCCCACATCCCTTGGCTTGGAGCCCCTTCCTACACCTTCAGAGCCAGTAGCACAGTATCTTTCAATCTCCTTCTGCTTCTGACCCTCCTGCCTCTTCATATGAGAACCCTGTGGGGACACTGGACCCCCTGTATCATCCTCTGTGACTTTTCTGTCTTAAAATCAGCTGTTTTGAAACTTTAATTCCACCTGCAACCTTAATTCCCCTCTGCTATGCAATCTGATGTAGTCAAAGGCTCCAAGGATGAGGTCATGGACATCTTCAGGGGGTTGTTAATCTGTCTACCATAACTAGGCAAGATGGACTCAAAGAAGCACCTCAGGAGTCTGGGGGAATCGGCAACACTGTCTTTGAAAATCAGGGTCACTTCAAAAGGACACCTCCTTTCTCCTGCTGCAACTAGTCGAAGTTGCCTCTGTTGGGTGTCTAGAACCTTCCCAAGACGAGCCAACTGCTTACTCATGGCTGACTGACTGCTCAGGGCTAAGAGACTATAGACCAACCAGCCATTTCCCCCAACAGATGGGGAAACTGTGGCCCAGACATTGGGTTCCTTGGTGGCATGCTATACTAGGCCAGCTGCTGGGGACAGTGTCCCTGCCCTTACACAGGTCCTGGATTAGAGAGGGAATTATGCAGTAACTCCATCTTAGGCTGCCTTTGTGGCACCTGAGGCCTATTGAGACAGAACAAGGAGCCCCATCACAGAGCAGCACTCATTTGGAGCTTTTGTAAAACCATCAAGGCACCACCCGGTGCTCAGTCTCAACTGCTTTAAAATTCCCCCAGGACAGGGGTCCAAACATCTGTACATCCCTCAGCATCTGAACATTCTCATGTCCATTTGTGCATTTTTCTAGGGAGAGAGGCCATGGGGGGAGGGATGGGGAAAAAACCCAGGAGTCATCCCCAGCCAGTCTTGGGCACCATGGGCTCACCTGGCAGGAATCCACCTTCCCATCCAGGTAGCCAGCACACAACATCCTGTCTGTGAGCGAGTGGCCGTACAGGCTGGCACATAGGGCCTGGTCCAGCAGCTCCACAGTGGCTTTCTGCAGCACCTCTGGCTTGACCACTGCCCCAATAGGGAGAGAAGAGCAGAATGAGAGTGCCATAGCCCTGGCAGCCACCCTGAGCCAGGAGGCAAAAGAGTGCATCCTCTCTGAGCCTCAGTTTCCCCAGCTGCAAGCCTGGTTGCTAGTAGTACCTGTCTGAGAAACCGGCAAAAGGTAAATATCCCATAGATGCTTCTGATAACATCTCAGGGGTCCCAGATGCTTCCACGCAGGGGCTCAGGCCCCAAACTCCAAGACAGCCTCGAGTCTTCTCTCCATCCTCCTACTTCCCTCTCTGAGTCATTCTTCTTGGCTCAAATATATCTAATACCTGCCCCTGTCTCTCCTGCCAGTTCCTGCCTGGGTCATCCCAGTCATTTCTTTCCCACTTCTGTGAATACTCTGGTGCAGCCCTGCCAGATCCCTTCCTAACCAAGTAGTTGAATTAGATCTTGTCAACTCCAGCCTCCCCAGACCTGCCCCAGGGCTTTTGCACTTCTGTCCCCACAGAATCTGCCCTGCTTCCTCCTTTGTCTCCTCTCCTTGTGGACCCCTGTCCCTGCCTGAGAAAACCCCTCACTGGGTTCCTCCCCCTCTGATGCTTTCTTGTGGATCATCTTATGCAATGCAGTAGCCACCAGCCACATGTGACTATTCATATGTAGATGGAAATGTATTAAAATGAAATACACATTAAAACTAAGTTTCTCTAGGTTGGGCACAGTGGCTTAGACCTGTAATCCTAGCACTCTGGGAGGCTAAAGTGGTTGGATAGCCTGAACTATGAGATCAGCCTGAGCTACAGCAAGATCCTATCTTTAAAAATAGCCAGGTGTTGTAGCAAGCATCTATAGTCACAGCTACTAGAGAGGCTGAGGCAGGGAGGATTGCTTGAGCCCAAGAGTTCGAGGTTGCTGTGAGTTATGATGCCACGGCACTACTGAGGATAACAAAGTGAGACTCTGTCTCAAAAAAAAAATTGTACCCCATGATTGCATTAATGTACACAGCTATCATTTAATAAATAAATAAATGAAGAAACAATAACTCAGTTTCTTTAACTGGCCACATCCCAAATGCATAGTAGCCAGCTGGGGCCAGTGTTTCCACTGTGGATTTCTGACCATTTTACTTTCTACTCACCCCCTGGAATAATGGGGGTGGCCCAGAGGAGCTCGAGTGGTTGTTGATCAACTATAATCATCATCAACTTTCTTTCCTCACTAGATCCTGCTGGAAAATATATTTCATTCTTGCAAGGTGGAAACATTTTCCAGGCAGGCACAGACCTGAGAAAACCCTGAAGCAAAGCCCGATGGGATCTGCTAGGGAGGTCGGCCCTGCCAGAGTCGCAGACCCTGACAAAGAGTCATTTCCAGGCATCATCTGTGAAAACCTATACATTGGCTGAGATGGTCTGTGCCTTGTGGCTACTGTATTGGATAGTGGAGCCCTAGAATATCCTTGACCAGGGCTCCCCGGTAGCAATCCCTATGATAGTGGGAATGTTTTATTCCGTGTTGTCCACTCTTTCTAGAATGCACCAGGCCCTCACTGCCTCCCTGAGCTCACCCTTGCTGCCCTCACTGCAAACGCCCTCCCCACAAATGCCCTCCCCACCCCTTCACACATTGTACATTTACTTGCCAGCCTCACCTTCCAAGAACCCTGTCCTACAGCTATTCCCCCAACTCATTTTTCTTACAGCATCCTGTGGATTTCCTTCCTAGAGTTAGAACCATCAAAGCACAGTCGATTCCCATTATTCACAGCAGTTCTGTTCCATAAACTCGCTGCGAACACTGAGTGAGTGAGTCCTGAGCCTCTGCTCCTAGGGGAAGCACAGGGGTAGGTTTCTTCCAGCCTGTGGTCACGTTTTTATCAACTGATCATATAGAACCTTGCTTTATGTGTGTTTCTATTTAAAGATGCTTCATTGGGCCAGGTGGAGTGACTCACACCTATAATTCACAGCATTTTAGGAGGCTAAGACAGGAGGATCACTTGAGGCCAGGAGTTTGAAACCAGCCTGGGCAATATAGCAAGATGCCATCTCTACAAAAAAATTAAAAATTAGCCAGGCACAGTGGCTCACAGCTATAATCCTAGTACTTTGGGAGGCTGAGGTAGGTAAATTGCTCAGGAGTTCAAGATCAGCCTGAACAAGAGCAAGACCCTCTCTCTACTAAAAATAGAAAAACTAGGTGAGGGGCTCTTCTACAAATGGAACTTTGCCCTGGAAGTGAGAACAATGTAACCTAAATATTGTACCCTCATATTAATTTGAATAAAATTAAAAAAAAAACAAAAATAAATAAAAATAGAAAAACTAACCAGGTGTGGTGGTGGGTGCCTGCCTATAGTCCCAGCTACTTGGGAGGCTGAGGCAAGAGGATCTCTTGAGCCCAAGAATTTGAGATTGCTGTGAGCTATGATGCCACTGCACTCTACCCAGAGTGACAAAGTGAGACTCTATCTAAAAAAAATTTAACCAGCCATGGTGGCACATGCCTGTAGTCCCAGCTACTCAGGAGGATGAGGTGGGGAGGAAGGCTTGACTCTTAGGAGTCAAGTAAGCTGTGACTGCACCACTGCACTTCAGCATGGGCAATAGAGTGAGACTCGGGCTCTAAAAATTTTAAAAGGCACCTTATTCAGGGGTGGTGCCTGTGGCTCAGTGGGTTGGGCACCAGCCCCATGTACCAAGGGTGGTGGGTTCGAACCCGGCTTCGGCTGAACTGCAACAACAAAAAAAGGGCCGGGTGTTGTGGCCGGTGCCTATGATCCCAGCTGCTCAGGAGGCTAAGGAAAGAGAATTGCCTGGGCCCAAGAACTGGAGGTTGCTGTGAGCTGTGGTGCCATGGCACTCTACCAAGAACGACAAAATAAGACTCTGTCTCTAAAAAAAAAAAAGGTACCTTATTCAATATATAGAGGATGTCAAAAAAAAAAGTATATCCATTTTGAGAAAGGAAAAACCTATATTAAAATTATAATAATAGGCCAGTGAGGTGGCTCACACCTGTAATCCTAGCACTCTGGGAGGCCAAGGCAGGAGGATTGCTTGAGGTCACTGGTTGGAGATCGGCCTGAGCTAGACCAAGACCCCATCTCTACTAAAAATAGAAAAACTGAGGCAAGAAGATCACTTGAGCCCAAGAGTTGGAGGTTGCTGTGAGCTATGATGGCACAGCACTCTATCCAGGGCATTAGCCTAAGACTCTGTCTCAAAATAAATAAATAAATAAGATTGTAATAATATATACAAATAACAAAAGATAAATAATACAAGTCATATTGAGCACCTCTTGTAATTGTAGAAATCAAATGTGACTTGAGTATGACAAATTTAGTACAGTTTTTTCCTTTCTTAAAATGTGTAAGCATTTTTGGCACCTTCTGTATATACGGTTGATTTATTAACATAAGGCACTATCACTCATGCCTGAGTGATGCTTCCCTGACACATGGATTTTCTCATCAGGGCTCAGTATGGCCTCTTTGCACTGAGGACTGCTACACGGCACTTCACTTCACTTCACGGTCCACACTCCGTGGACATTCTAAATAATGACAGGCCAACAAAAAAGAACAAAAACGCAAAATAAAGTGGCTCTCAGAAGACCTCAGACAACTATTCACAGAATGAGTTAAAATAAGAAGGTGTAACGTGGCCTCGTCTGAGTTCGGCTGGGACTGTGCCCATCGGGCAACTCAAATTTTCCACTGTTTTGTGTGTGTGCATGGAAAACCACAAAAGTCCTACGTGTGTCAATGCTGGGTTACAAATAAATCTCAGCAAGTAGTCAAAATCAAGAACACAGAATCAGAGACTAATGAGGATCGACTGTGTCTTGCTTGCCATCTTCTTTGCCCACTGCCTGCCTGGGGTGGGGAAGATGCTTACAGAAGTCCTCCTTGAGGTAGCCCCAGCCCGAGATCAGACACTTCTTGCTGGGTAGGAAGATGTGCGAGGCCGCCGGGAGGCACACGGGCTGGATGTACCTGCCCAAGGGCAGTGGGCGGCTCAGCTCCAGTACCGCCACGTCGAAGTCAGCCGTGTCTGAGTTGTAAAGAGGGTGCTTGATGATCCGCGCCACCCGGGCCCTCACAGCGCTGGCCTCAGAGCCGCTGAGGTAAGTTGTGCCCACATAGGCCACCCACTCCGTTGGGTCTTGAAATCTGCAGGGGCAAACCCCAGTTCAGAGGCCACCAGGCAGCACACTCACCTTGGGCAAAAAAATTTAAGGGGGTGCTAAAAATCTCAGCTGTCATGATAAAAGAATATTGCGATGTAGTATTTTGAAAAATCCAAAATGAATGCCAGAAATACCCACAGTGAACAAAATATCAACTATTAATAGTCATCAGAGAAACTGCAAATCAAAGCCACCATGAAATACTGCTTTACCCCCATTAGGGTAGCTGTCCTCAAAAGAATAGAAAATAATGAGTATCAGTAGGATGTGGAGGAATTGGAACCCCTGTGCATTGCTGGTGAGGATGTAAAATGGTGCAGACATTGTGGAAAATACTCTTGGTGTCTCCTAGAAAAATTAAAGACAAAATTACCATGTAAAGCAGCAATTCCAATCCTGGATATCTACCCAAAGGAACTTGGGTAGATACTTGCACCGATATTGGCATAGAAGATTTGAACAGATTTTTGTACACCCATGTTCACAGCATCACTCTGCACAACAGTCAAAATGTGGAAGCAACCCAAATGTTCATAGGTCATGGATAAACACAATGCGGTGTTCCATCCAAACGGTGGAACATGATTCAGCCTTAAAAAGGAAGGAGATTCTTGGATTTGGTTTTGGTTTTATTTTGAGACAGAGTCTCATTCTGTCACCCTGGGTAGAGTGCTGTGGCTTCACAGCAACCTCAAAACTCCTGTGTTCAAGCGATTCATTTGCCTCAGCCTCCCAAGTAGCTGGGACTATAGGCGCCTGCCTCAATGTCTCTGTTTTTTAGAGATGGGGTCTTGCTTTTGATCAGGCTAGTCTTGAACTTGTGGGCTCAAGCAATCTATGGGGCTTGGCCTCTCAGAGTGCTAGGATTGTAGTTTTGAGCCACTGCACCTGGCCCTGGTTTTTCTATTTTTAGTAGAGACGGGGTCTCACTCTTGCTGAGTCAGGTCTTGAACTCATGAGCTCAAGCAGTCCACCCACCTTGGCCTCCCAGAGTGCTGAGATTACAGGAGTGAGCCACTGCACCCAGCCCAGAGGGAAGGAGATTTTGATACAGGCTCCAACATGAATGAACCTCGGATGTTATGCTCAGTGAAATAAGCCAGTTGCAAAAGGACAAATCCTGTGTGACTCCACTCATACGAAGTCCCAAGAGCCATTGGATTCAAAGACAAAAAGTAGGCTTGGCTCCTGTGGCTCAAGCGGCTAAGGCACCAGCCACATACACCTGAGCTGGCGGATGTGAATCCAGCCTGGGCCTCTGGGCCCTCCAAACAACAATGACGGCTGCAACCAAAAAATAGCTGAGTATTGTGGCAGGCACCTGTAATCCCAGCTACTTGAGAAGCAGAGGCAGGAGAATCGCTTGAGCCCAGGAGTTGGAGGTTGCTGTGAGCTGTGATGCCATGGCACACTCTACCCAGGGCAACAGCTTGAGGCTCTGTCTCAAAAAAAAAAAAAGACAAAAAGTAGAATGGTAGGTGCCAGGGGCTGAGGAGGGGATGGAAGTTAGTGTTTCACTGGGACAGAGTTTCAGTCCGGGAGATGAGAAAGTTCTGGAGATGGAGGGTAGTGATAGCTGTGTTGTGAACATGCTTACTGTTGCTGAACTATAATGGTTAAATGGTAAATTATATATATATATATATATATATCTTACCACAATTAAAAACATAAATTAGGCTTGGCACCCGTAGCACAGTGGTGGTTACTGTGTCAGCCACATACACCAAGAGTGGCAGGTTCAAACCCAGCCTGGGCCAGCAACAATGACAACTGCAACAAAAAAATAGCCAGGGGTTGTGGTGGGTGTCTGTAGTCCCAGCCACGTGGGAGGCTGAGGCAAGAGAATTACTTAAGCCCCAGAGTTTGAGGTTGCTGTGAGCTGTGACGCCATAGCACTCCACCCAGGGTGACATAGTGAGACTCTGTCTTAAAAAAAATAATAAAATAAAAAATAGGGCAGCGCCTGTGGCTCAAGGAGTAGGGTGCCAGCCCCATATGCTGGAGGTGGTGGGTTCCAGCCCAGCCCCAGCCAAAAACTGCAAAAAAATAATAATAATAAATTAAGTAAAACAATAATGCGTTCAGATTCAGCAAGAAAGCAGAAAGCACAGGAGAGAAAGAGAAAGAAAATTAAAAAGAGGACCAGGTTTGGTGGTTCATGCTGTTAATCCTAGCACTCTGGAAAGCCAAGGCAGGTGGATCACTTGAGCCTAATTAGGAGGTCAAGACCAGCCTGAGCAGGAGTGTCTCTGCTAAAAAAGGAAAAAGAAAAAAATAGTCAAGAAAAAAAAAAGAAAGAAAGAAATAGCTGGGCGTCATGGTAAGTGCCTATCCCAGCTACTCAGGAGGCTAAGGAAAGGACCTCATGAGCCCTAGAGTTTAAGGTTGCTATAATCTTAACAACATAATGGCACTCTACCTAGGGCAACAGAGTGAGACTCTGTCTCAAAAAAAAAAAAAAAAAAAACCAAAGTTTCAAGGGAAATGCTTTAAGGAATCTCAGAAGCCATGTGGCCTCCAGAGCAGGAGGGAGATGGGGGAAAGACAGAAGTATACGGTTTGGATCTGAGCCCAAGGAACGCGGGGTTACAGGCCATGGGTGGGGACTTACTCATTGAAGCAGTGGGCGGCAGACACCAGCCATTGGGCACTGATGATGGTGGCCCCACAGAAGTGCTCCTTATTTTCTCGAAGGCTGACTTGCCAAGGGAACTCCCCTGGGGATGCCTCCACACCGCCCACAATCCTGCCAGCTGTCTTCCAGGCAGGCTGCAAACCACAGTCTGTAAGATAGAAGGTTACCAGCCAGGACCCCAAGAAGGCAGGACCTCAGGCCAATCTCTCCAGAACATCTACTCCAAATCTCTCATCTATGGCCCCCAATTCAAAGAGATGCTTTGGTGTCCCCCCTCCCCACCACCACACATACTCCTTTGGGGTCTCCCCATTCCTCCTTCTTCAGCATTTCCATATGGCCTATCCTGGCAGACAGGTCAAATGCCCAAAGTCGCATGCACCAATTAGTGGCTGAGAAAGGTCGCTATCCAGGGACCTTTTCTCTGCCCCAGTGCAAAAGCCATGCAGCCTTCCCTCTGCCACATTGCACATTGTCATACTGCTGACAGGTACAGGGTAGGAACTTCACAAACACTTCTGAATTGAATGTGAACTGTACTGACTCATAAACCAGAGTTGAGTCCTTGCTTTCTTTCATTTCTATCTGCTTGGTGGACAATTTCTTCCTCTTCCTCCCTTCACTGAACCTTCCTTCTGACCTCTCAACTTCCACTGACATTGCCGTGCAGTATGGGTTAACTCAGCAGGCCTGCACTGTCCAAACCCTACACCTCTCAAAGAAAGGTCTGGTCCTTGATCAACTTCGTGAGAGGAGGTATCTTTTTATTTTTTCTGAGACGGAGTCTCACTATGTCGCCCTCAGTAGAGTGCTGTGGCATGACAGCTCACAGCAACCTCAAACTCTTGGGCTTAAGGGATTCTCTTGCCTCAGCCTCCCAAGTAGCTGGGACTACAGGCACCCACCTCAACACTTGGCTATTTTTTGAGACAGAGCCTCAAGCTGTCCCGCTGGGTAGAGTGCCATGGCATTACAGCTCACAGCAACCTCCAACTCCTGGGCTCAAGCGAGTCTCCTGCCTCCGCCTCCCAAGTAGCTGGGACCAC